TGTTTTGTCTGATGAATTCACGTTTAAATGCCTATTCTGGTCTACTATATAGTCTGGTTTCGTGAGTGTTGGGTGCAGTGGGTGTGATGGCTATACGAGGTTTCTTGGAGAGAACGAAGTTTTTGTCTGGTTTTGTGAGTTTTGGGCGCAGCGCGGGTGATGGCTATACTAGGTTTCTTTGAGAAAACTAAGTTCTTTGAGAGCCTTGTGTTACCACCAGCGCGTCGCGGGACTGCCGCCTGTCTATGGACAGTGAATGTATTGGCTGCAACTCCTGCGAGGTATATTTTAGAGTGTTTTGTTTGTCGCTACAAGTGTGCCGCGGGACTGCAGCACCTGCAAGTTGCTTTCTGGATGTACTGGCACACCTGCCACGTTGTGTGGTATATTTATTCAGGTACCTGTTGTGAAATTAACGAGGGTCATGTGAACGGGCAGTTGAATGAAAAGGTGTTTGATGACAGGAAAATTTTCGAGTTTGTGAGATTAATTCAGCCGGTCGTCACCGATGAAGTGAGGGCTCTCGTGATAAATGGCGGAGATGTCAGGCTGGCTGTTTGTTTCGTGTGGACTCTTGCTTTGCCCAGGCAAAGACGCTTTGGAGCCTTAGCCATGCAGATAGGAGATTGTGTTTGAAAACCCCAATTTTTGGCAGGTAATTTTCGTGTTGTGAGCTGCGGGTGCCCACCAATAAGATGAAAATTTGAACTGTCTGTGTGATGACGTGATCGCAAGGTCATGGGGAGGGGTCCCATTGCTGAGAGGAAGGAAGGAAGGAGGGACTTCGTCTGGTTCGTGTTTGTAAGTGTGTGTTTTTTTGGGTTGTCTTGCTGTGGCAGTTCATCTTCGATGCAGCCGCCCAACATTGTGTTGAGATTGCGACACATCGGCACGGTTGTTGCGTGCTTCAACGGTGTGTAGACTATGCCTCAGGCGCTCAAAGACAGAGACTCGTTGCTGAGATAGCCGCCAATGCATTGGTGCTTTCTCAAGATCCTTTTGGGTAAGGCATCCTTTGGCTGTGCTTTTATAATCCCCTCACCGCACCAGTGAAAGCTATAGAACCAGTCTCGACTCTCGACGTCCTTGCACAACTTGGTATTTTCCTGTCTGCTGTCGGCAGCCATGCCGTTTAATATCTCCTTGGGATGACATGGCCTAATTGATTGGGGACTTCATCCATGACTGTGAACAGAGGGAAAGAGAACTTGCCCCACCTTCTCTTCATCTGCCCCATTTTCTTCTGACATTTTTGTTGATGAGAGTGGATTGACGAATTTGCAATGTCTGGAGTGTATTTTTTGGCTGTGATAGACCTTTGTGTCGTGGGTGTTTTGCTGGCTTCTGATGATGGGGGGGGGTCAACCGACAGTCTGTAGAGTTTTCCATCTGGTGTGGGTGAGTGATAGTCTGCGATTGTTTTCGTTACAGATACCTTGAGGGCAGTGGTTGGTGGTCCCCACCACCTCAGAGGGGTATCAGTTGCCGGGCAGTCGTTGATGCTTAACCACACAACATTATCACTTACTGTGCAGTCAGTTAGGGGATTCTGTAGACTGTCACAGCCCCTCGTTTATTCGGCCTCCTGATGAGTCGGTGACACTCCGACGAAGGGTTTGTCACGGCCCCTCGTTTGTTGTCCTCTTCTCTTGTCCCTCTCTGCCGACGGTTTACCGGGCAGTTCTGTTTGATGATATGTATGGGAGGAGTAGACTGTGTTTTGTTGGTTCCCCTGTTCAGCTGATGACAGTGACATCGCCTTTGTTGGAAAGGGGGCCGGAATTCTGGGGGTATGTTGCTGAATGGTTCGTGGGCGGCGGGGTTTGTTAGGTCCTGAAGCCTTTGCTGAGTTGGTTTATTTTTCTTTAATCTCTGTTGTTGAATGCTTGGCTTTTGTTTGTTTCGATCATCCTGCGCAGGAACTATGTTGTGCAATACGTTCTGGACCTTAACTTGCCATGGGCCTCAGTTGAGGTGATGGTTAGGTTGGAGGGCAGTTATCCCTACCTTTCGATGCAGAAATTCAGCAGCAATGTGGTCGAGAAATGCTTAAAGCTTGCTGATGATGAGCATCGTGCACGCATCATCAGAGAGCTCATGGCCTCTCCGAGACTCGGACAGCTGTTACAAGATCCGTATGCAAATTACGTGGTACAGAGTGCCCTCACTTACTCTAAGGTAAAATTCCAAAGTGATGGCCAAGATAAACGTGTGCGTTCGTTTGCGATGTATACATGTTAACTCCATAGTTTTATAGAGGTTGCTGGAAAAGAATGAAGAAGCTGTGAAGAGGGAGATATCTGATACCATGCAGAGAAACGGGTTGCTAGCAGGTAGCAATGCATCAGCATTTATACGCACCTGCATTATCGTAATGCTGAGTAACGGTTCAAGGGGGGGGGGGGGGGGGGG